AGGAGTTTCTTATATATTTTGGAAATTAGCCTCTTATCTGATAGATGGTTTGCAGATATTTTCTTTCATTCCACAGGTAGACTTTCCACTCTGTTGATTACTTCCTTTGCTGTGCAAAAGCTTTTTAGTCTGATGAACACTTGTGTCACTTTTTGCTTTTGTTGCCTGTGCTTTTGGTGTCATATCCATGAAATCATTGCTAAGGCCAATGTCATGAGGCTTTCCTGCTGTATTTTCTTCTAGGAGTCTTATAGTTTCAGGTCTTATTTTAAGTGTTTAATCCATTTTGTGTTGATTTTTTGAGTATGGTGTAAGATAAGGGTCCAATTTTAATCTTTTGCATATGGATATCCAGTTTTCCCAGTACCATTAGTTGAAGGATGAAAATCACAGGATCCTCTCAATAGATGCAGAAAAAGTGTTTGATAAGATTCAACACCCCAGCATGTTAAAAACTCTCAATAAACTAGGAATAGGTGGAAATTAGCTCAACATAATAAAGGCAATACATGAAAAGCCCCTACCCCTCACCCCACCCCCCACAGTCAGGGCAGAGCTGGAAGCCAGGGACACTCCCCTCTGGGGCACGCTGCCCAGTTTCCAGTGTTTGCACAACCATGAGCAACTCCGGTGTTTCCTCTTTTTGTTAGTCTTTGTTCTCTGATTTTCCTATGACAACCATGCCGTCCTGGAAAACTGAAGTGTCCCCAGGGCCACTGGAAGGGTGTCAGATGTGTGACCAGTGCTGGAAAGTGGAGGAATTCTGGAGACAGGCTTTAAGGCTGACCTTACAAATGGTTTCTGCTGGATGAGAATCCAATCCTCCTCCAAACACCCCCAGAGAAGGAGATAGAAAAACACACAGAAGCATTCCATATTGGCTCCAGGGCCAGGAATCCCTGTACCCTGTCTGACCACTCATGTTTGGCCGCAGTGGGGCAGCAGCAGCCTTGCCATGTTGGAATCTTCTAATGCAGGGCCTCAAATGCTGCTGGCAGAGCCCTGCTGTGTGATGCTCACCACCCTTGGGGCCCTGTGACGAGCTTGCTGGCTGGTGAACTCTGAGAGCTTCAGTTTGCTCAGATGGAGAGTGGGTATGAATCAGATGCTTCTGAATGTGCTGCTGGGAGCAGTAAATGGCGTCGTCTCAGTTGAGAGCTAATCACAGACCAAGTGGGTGAACCTGTCAAGACGGCCTTTGTAAATGAGCACTGAGGCTGCTCTCCTAGTCCACTTGGGCTGCTGTAACAAAGGGTCGTAGACTGCAGGACTTATAAACAACAGAAACTTATTTGTCACAGTTCTGGAGGCTGGAAGCGTGAGATCAGGGTGCCAGGCTGGTCAGGTGCTGGTGTGGGCCCTCTTCTGGGTCACAGACAGCCATCTTCTCCTTGTGTCCTCACGTGGTAGAGAGAGGGTGAGGGAGTTCTCTGGGGTCTCTTTCATAAGGGCACTAATCCCATGCATGAGTCTCCACCCTCATGCCCTAATCACCTCATCTCCTAACGCCATCACATTAGGGGTTAGGATTAATTTTGGGGAGAAACACAAACATTTAGTGCATGGTAGGTACATGTGGAGAAACCCTAATTGTGAAACTTGCAGCCTGTGAGGAGTGTTGTTTGCAGTCACACCAGCGGCAGTGGGTGTCGGCTCCTGCCCGAGTATGTGAGTCATGTGGTCACTCGACCCAGAGGAGCCCAGCGGTGAGCTCTGTGGGATTTCCACACTGACATCCCACATCTGCTTTCACTTGTAGTTCCCCGGGAAATGGAGTCCTGGTCGGCTTCCAAGTCCTAGTCTGAGGTGAACATCTTTCCCCTAGCCCACAGTGACTGACCACTTCAGTGCTGCCTGACTCCATGGTTCCTCCACAGCCCACGTGGCCCTGGCTCATCCTCTGTCTGGGAGGACCCCCACCCCACTCCACACTTCTGGTGGCAGTGACAGCTGCATCTGGTGGTCTCTAAAGCCTGGGCTTCATCGGCATCCAATTTGTGTCCACTCTCATTTGCTATTATCTAAGCAAGTAATTTTCAAAGAATTTTAGGAGCAGAAGTCTTTTCTTTCAAATGAACCTGTACGAAATTCCAACTCCTAAAATACAAGTGGGGACTTGTTCTTTGCAGCTGGGGAAAGTGTCTTAGAGAGGAGAATTGACCTGGCCACATGGAGAGGGGCAGAGTTGAAAGTCAGCTCCACTCAACCCTCTCACCATCCCCCTTCTCAGGCTGCCACTGTCCCCAGGGGTGGTGGGAGCAGTGATGCTTCGGCCCTCAATCTCCTGCATTCAAACTGTGGCCCTCCCACTTGCAGCTGGGCATCCTTGGGCAGTTTCTCCTGTCTCCATGCCTCGGTTTCTTCATCTGTAAGCATCTTCCTCACAGAGTTGTTGTGAGGAGCAAAGGAGAGGATGGAGTGAGAAGGTCAAGACTGCCTGGCCCCCAGGACAGGCCCAGCTTCGTAGGATTACTGGATTTAGCTACTAGGAAATAATTGCTTGTATAAACATGCCCCCAAGTAGAATGTTATTGTTTATCTGAAATCCCACTTTAACTGGGCATCCTGTATTTGCTCTAGTGGCCCTACCCCTGGTGTGAGATCACCTCCTAGCCCCTGAGCACCTCTGCACACCAGCCAGGCAGAGGGCGCAGGGAGGGTTAGGGCTCCTCCCCCATCAGGACTGGGAGGGTGCCCAGGTCTGGATGCCCCATCCCTTCACCCAGGCTGAAATCGACAAGTGGACCTGAGGGCAAAACACCCGATGAGGTGGCTGGCCCAGAACGCCATCCGGGAGGGTCATGCACACTGGATGGCACCAGGCCAGAGTCCTTCTAGGAGGTTCTGCAAGACTGAGCAGCCATTGAGCTGGTTTCTCCCGCACCCTCATGCCTATGTCCCTGCAAAAAGACCCCCTCACTAATAATAACAGGTACCTATAAGAGCCAACACTTACAGCCCTTATTATGGGCCACATACTGTTCTAGCCACTTTCCACGTGTGTTCCTGTTTGCTGCGTAACAAAACACTGTGGAGCTCTGTGTCACACGGCAGCAGCCACTCCATGGTGCTCAGGGATGCTGTGGGCCAGGGATGCACGTAGGACCCGGGCTGGCTTGTCTCCGCTCCACAGTTTCCGTGATGGCGGGGCGAGGAGAACAGGAGAGAACTCAATTACTCCCCATAAGAAAGGGGAACTGGAGGCTCCGGGAGGAGCAGCTGAAGGAGGGGAGAGGGCAGGAGAAAGGAGTGAGGCCCCCCCACGGCAGAGGCGTCCCAGGGGCTGGAAGTGCCCGTTCTGTTCTTGCGCCCCACCCCCACCGCTACCAGCAGTCTATGCTGCACATTAGTGCTGGACTTGGGTTGTGGGTCTGGGGGGAGAAGGAATGACACCAGCTCCACAAAGGTAGGGTGGCCCAAGGAGGCCAGACTCCTCTGAGCGAAGTGACGAAGATGTAGTTCTCATGGGTGCAGGTGCTGAGGAGGAAAGTGTGATTTTTGGCCATTTTAAGCAAAGTGGAGAGGAACACAGCCTTGGGCCGGACACCTGGCTCTGCCACTTGCCAGCTGGCAAATACCCTCACTTCTCCGTTTCTTTGCCTGTGAGACATGGATAATAATGGTGCACCTTGTAGCATCATTGTGGAGGTTAAATGAGGTCTATGCGTTGAGCCCCCAGGAGACGGCCTGGGAAGACAGTGGACCTGGGGCCCAGCATGAGCTTCTGTGGATGTCAGGAGCCGGGAGGACCTTTGTCAACACTAGGCAGGGGTCTCAACTCTTTTGGGTCAAGAAACCCTTTGAGAACGTGAGCTGTGGACACCCCTGACCCCCAACTGTGTGGAGGCCGGCAGCCCTATGAAGCCCCAGTGGATGTGGGGCAGGAGACTCTGCCGTCCAGCCTCCTTCACCACACAGTGGTGAGGACCCAGTGGCCGGGGCCCAAGGCGGGGCTCAAATGCCCACTTGCCATGTGGCCTGGACAGTCACACCTGTAGCTTGGCCGCCTGGTATGTGGGGTGGAGCAGGCACTCACAAGGTGGTGAGCAGCTGTGAAATGTTTAGAGCCAGCCTGGCAAAGAGCAGGCCCCCAGGAGCATCTGCTCATAGAAGGCGCTTCCCTGCTGCTCAGAGCCGGCCTGCATCAGGGCTGAGCCTGGGTTGGGGCCCTTTCGGTGCTTAGGTTCCCTAGCCCAGAGAGGGGCCAGCAGTCCCCTTGGTCTCCCACCTACACAGTATCCACATAGAAGGGTGCTGCCTGCAATGAAGACACTTTTATGTCCCTGGGGGAGCGAGACTTGAGGAGACCCCTGGCTTTGAGGAGCAGGGCATGGGGAGGCTGAGTGGACGGGGGTCTGGGCCCAGTCAGGCTCTGCGCACACTCACCGTGGACCCCTGGGCAGGCAGCGCCTCTCTGGGCTTCCACTTCTTTCCCTGTAGGAGATGGGTGCTAATGCAGCTGGACACCAGGCACTCTGTGGCCACAGGAAGTAGCCACCAGGGGGCGCATGGGGCCAGCACGTGGCTCCCCGTATGGACTGTGCCTGGGTGCTGTGGTCACTACTCTCTGACACTGACCAGCCCCTTCCCCAGGCCCAAGCTGCAAGCCTCCAACACACTTCATTTTTCCAGGGAGCACTAAGTTACCCCCTTCCTACTTCCCATTTGGGTCTCAGGCTGCCTGCCTCGAACATCCAGCACACAGATCAGAGAACAGCTCTGGAGCCGGTCACCCAGTAGGGGACGAGGGATTATTCCCAAGTCAGGTGAGAGCTCGCCTGGGGTTCTGGGACAAGGCTTCATCTGTGTGTGGCCCATTCCTTCTCCAGGCTCCACCTCCGGGAGCCCCTCACCCCACCTCCGGGAGCCTGTCTCGGCTCCCAGCCTGGGAGACAGCGACCCTTTGCCCTGCCCCCACTTGGGCCTCCCTGTCTGCCCTTCCTCACCTCTCTGGACCCAGCTTTTCAGAATATAAGGAAATCTCCAGCACCAAGCAAAGGTATCTGACAGCAATAAATTTATTAAGTATCCCCACAAAATATAAACACAAATAGTAAAAAAACAAAACAAACCGTAAAACATCAGGCCTGGAGTTGACAATAAAGCAGAGAGACAAATGAGAGACACAAAAACAGAGATGATGGGACGACAGAGCCAGGTGGACTCCCGTGGGGTGGGGATGCCGTGAACACCAGAGGACAACACTCGGGAGCCCAGGGTGATGTGACTGGACCTGGTGGGGGCAAGGCAGGGGGCGGTGTCAGTGGCTCCATGGCTCTGGGGGACAGACCTCTTGGCCCTGGCCACACCCCTCCAGCTGCTTCACTTGGGGCCCTGGGCCTCGGATTCCTCCTCATCGTCTTCGTACATCTCGCCCTCCTCCTCGGCCGTGGCGTCCTGGTACTGCTGGTACTCGGACACCAGGTCGTTCATGTTGCTCTCGGCCTCGGTGAACTCCATCTCGTCCATGCCCTCGCCCGTGTACCAGTGCAGGAAGGCCTTGCGCCGGAACATGGCCGTGAACTGCTCCGAGATGCGCTTGAACAGCTCCTGGATGGCCGTGCTGTTGCCGATGAAGGTGGAGGACATCTTGAGCCCGCGGGGTGGGATGTCGCACACGGCCACCTTCACATTGTTGGGGATCCACTCCACGAAGTAGCTGCTGTTCTTGCTCTGGATGGCCAGCATCTGCTCGTCCACCTCCTTCATGGACATGCGCCCGCGGAAGACAGTGGCCACGGTCAGGTAGCGGCCGTGGCGGGGGTCGCAGGCAGCCATCATGTTCTTGGCATCAAACATCTGTTGGGTGAGCTCGGGCACCGTCAGGGCCCGGTACTGCTGGCTGCCACGGGCGGTGAGTGGGGCGAAGCCGGGCATGAAGAAGTGCAGGCGGGGGAAGGGCACCATGTTCACGGCCAGCTTGCGGAGGTCAGCATTGAGCTGGCCAGGGAAGCGGAGGGAAGTGGTGACCCCGCTCATGGTGGCCGACACCAGGTGGTTGAGGTCCCCGTAGGTGGGCGTGGCCAGCTTGAGGGTGCGGAAGCAGATGTCGTAGAGGGCCTCGTTGTCAATGCAGTAGGTCTCGTCCGTGTTCTCCACCAGCTGGTGGATGGACAGCGTGGCGTTGTAGGGCTCGACCACTGTGTCCGACACCTTGGGTGAGGGTACCACGCTGAAGGTGTTCATGATGCGGTCGGGGTACTCCTCACGCACCTTGCTGATGAGCAGTGTGCCCATCCCGGATCCCGTGCCCCCGCCCAGTGAGTGGGTCAGCTGGAAGCCCTGCAGACAGTCGCAATTCTCACACTCCTTCCGCACCACGTCCAGGACCGAGTCCACCAGCTCGGCGCCCTCCGTGTAGTGGCCCTTGGCCCAGTTGTTGCCGGCCCCACTCTGACCTGTGTAGGGGGAGAGGATGGGGACAGAGATGAGGTCAGACCTCCAGCGCCCACCTGAACATCCCATCCCAGAGGACAACTGTGGAAGCCCTGTGCCTGTTTCTCCTCTATGAAATGGGCATGCCCACAGCTCACTCCCTCCACGGCTCTCCACACCAGCCACACTGCGTGTTGGGGACCCCGCTGCCCAGCACTCAGTGTTAAGGGCTCTGAACAGGAATTGAGAACCTGGAGTTACAGCTCCTTCTCTGCCTCCCAAGGGGGTCCTGGGGGAGTCTGTTGGCCCTCCCCTCGTGCCCACCCACCCTCTGGCCGGTTGTGCTGGAAGTGGAAACTACAACCCCCAGAATCCCTTGCAGCTTGCGGTCTGGATGTGGGTTGGTGCCCATCAGTTGGGTGCTGAGCTCTGGAAGGCAGAACTTGGGTGAGACCCTCTTCCTGTTGCTGTGCAAGCACCCAGGGCCCTGCCACCAGAGTCACAGGCAGAAGGACCACCGGACCTCTTGATTAGGTGTGTCTGTGCTGTGTCTCGTCCATTGGAGGCCCCGACTTCTGTCCCACCAGCTCTCTAATGATCCTGTAAGCTTAATTCTCTGTTTTACACATTGTTCTGCTTGAAATACACGAGTGGTTTCTGTTCCTTGTACAGAGCCCTTTCTCTGGGCCTCCACTGCCAACTGCAAGCAGGGGAGACCAGCCCCGCCCTGCGAGATCACAGGGAGGGGTGACTGTGCCCTTTTGTATCCGTTGACCTGGGTTTGCTTATGGTGGGGTCCACCATCCATGTGTAGGACAAGGGAAACTCACCAAAGATGAAGTTGTCAGGCCTGAAGAGGTGCCCGAAGGCCCCAGACCGGACGCTGTCCATGGTTCCAGGCTCCAGGTCCACCAGGATGGCCCGAGGCACATACTTGTGAGCTGAGGGCAGAGGGGTGGGTTATGTGGGTCACAGAGGCTCAGGGGCTCCTCTTGCCCTCCAAATCCTGTCCCATACTGCCAGCCGTGTGCTCTCACTCTAAGAGCTTGGACCCTGGGGTCAGAAAGGCTGGAACCATGAGTGAAATGGGGACCATGGTGGACACCATGGACAGCCAAGGTCAAATCCCATGTCCATGTGGGCAGGTTAATATTTTGCCAGTTTGCTAAGGACATCATTTTACACCGTTGCTAAATAGCCCCTGCCCGAGCCTCCCAGGTAACCCCACTCTGGACCCTCCCATGGGCCTCCTGAGGGGCCTCCAGGACCCTGCCCAGCCCTGTCCATTCCCCTGGACTGTGCATGTGTCTCGTGGCCATCTGAATCTCACTGGGATTCCTGTCTTTATTCTGAGTCTCAGGTGACACCTGCAGCCTGGGCCCCAGCACCTCTGCCCGCCCCCCCAGGTGGAGCAGGGTGGGTGGGGCTCACAAGAGGCCTCATTGTAGTAGACGCTGATGCGCTCCAGCTGCAGGTCCGAGTCCCCCACATAGTTGCCACTGGGGTCTATGCCGTGCTCATCGCTGATGACCTCCCAGAACTGCAGGGGGAAAGAGGAGTCAGCAGGCGGCCATGACCCCCACCAGACCATTTCCCTCCCGTGGCCTCATAGCCCTGGGTGTAAAATTAGGGGCTTGGGCCCAAAGCCTGCACCAGCCTCTTTGAGTGACTTTGGAAAAAAGCTCCAAGCTCTGTCATCTGTCAGAAAATTGTCATAATAAATATGCACATCCACGGACCCCTCAGGGTGGTTCAGGGCTCAACTGGCACAGACCCAGGCCCCAGACCCAGCTCTGCCCTTGCTGACCGGGGGCCTTGGACAGTCCACTCCTCCATGAGGGGATTAGTAATAAACACCCTCTGGGGGTGGTTTTGATTATTCCCTCTTTTTAGACGAGGAAACTGAGGCACAGACAAGTTAAAGAGCTGCCCACAGTGACAGAGACAGGATGTCCAGTGACAGGGTCCAGCAGCATCCAGCACACCATCAGCCTCAGCCAATCGGAACCTCAGGGTCACCTAGCCTGTCCACGCAGATGCCCAGGCTCATACTCCCACTGTCTGCTGCCCCCTGCCCTGCTCCTCCGTGGCCAGGAGCCCCCAGCACTTCTCAAACTTTCCCCCATGACTGCCACTGGGCAGGACAGCCAGAACAGGGCCTGGACTCAGGAGCCGGACCATCCCTTCCCAGCTATGTGACCTTGGGCAGGTCCCAAAGATTCTTTGTGCCGCGTCTGCTCAATGGGCCTGATGACAACAGGTCATTGTGGGGATAAAGCAAGTTAATCTGTGCAAAACGTGTGAATGGGTGTGAAGGATGCTGAGTGTGGTGTGGAATTATTAGCATATACCCTGGGTGACAGGAAAGCTGCGCAGAGCCTGCCCTCGCCTCAGGGGCACTTCCAGACTGTTGTGGGGCACAGTTGGTCCACATAGGCAGGAGATCATTGATCACACACTGTGTGACTTCCCAGGGCCCCTCCTCTTTGCTCCTCAAAGTTGGGGTGACTTTCAGAAGATGAATGGGGGGCCGGCCCCATGGCTTAGCAGTTAAGTGCGTGCGCTCCGCTACTGGCGGCCCGGGTTTGGATCCCGGGCGCGCACCGACACACCGCTTCTCCAGCCATGCTGAGGCCACGTCCCACATACAACAACTAGAAGGACGTGCAACTATGACATACAACTATCTACTGGGGCTTTGGAGAAAAAAAGGAGGAGGATTGGCAATAGATGTTAGCTCAGAGCCGGTCTTCCTCAGCAAAAAGAGGAGGATTAGCATGGATGTTAGCTCAGGGCTGATCTTCCTCACACACAAAAAAAGAAGATGAATGGGTATGGAGGCCTCGAGAAATAATGGGCCTCTACATGTGAGTCCTGTGCTGGCAAAAAGACTGCTCAGTGAGAAAAGCATTTAGAAGAGAGTTTGCACATGCTTTTCTATATACAGACGTCTCTGACACTAAACTCTGCCCCAGGCATCTGTGCCTGGGAATGTGGTCCAGGGTTGAGGGAGAGACTTCTTTTCACTGTATACCTTTGGTTCTTTTGGAATTCTTTGTCACATACACATTTTATTTTATTTTGTTTTATTTTATTATTTTTGTGTGTGTGTGAGGAAGATCAGCCCTGAGCTAACATCCATGCTAATCCACCTCTTTTTTTGCTGAGGAAGACCGGCTCTGAGCTAACATCTATTGCCAGTCCTCCTCCTTTTTTCCTTTCCCAAAGCCCCAGTAGATAGTTGTATGTCATAGTTGCACATCCTTCTAGTTGCTGTATGTGGGACACAGCCTCAGCATGGCCAGAGAAGCGGTGTGTTGGTGTGCGCCCGGGATCCGAACCCAGGCCGCCAGCAGTGGAGCACGCACACTTAACCGCTAAGCCACGGGGCCGGCCCCACATACACATTTTAACTTCTCCCAAAAAATTAGTTAAAAATATTTTTTGAAAGATGAAAAGTATGGACGGTGTCATTATTATAAAATACACAGAAGAGTGTCGGCAGTTCATCCAGAGAGACTGTTATCAGAGGTCATCTCTCAGGGAGGGTGCAGGCTGGACTGCTTCCCTCTCTTGTGTATCTTTGTCTTTGCTAGGTTTTTTTTTTCTTTTTGCATTAATGTTTGTTTATTTTGTAATTAGAAAAAATAAACACACAGGAATGTCACTGAGGCATTTGGGGCTCCCTCTGCTTCCTCCACCCTGACGCTGTCTTGGTCCCCACAGCCTAGGACACCCCAAATCTCTGGCTTCAGAAACACCCACAGCCCCGTAGAGGAGGAATGAGCTCGAGACAGCAAGTGTGGGGCCAGGAGAGACTGAGTCAGTCACAGTGCCATCAACACATCTATGGAAAGTTCTTTGGAATGCATCTATGGAAAGTGTGGTCTTCCAGGAGGTGACGGACCAGAGTGGGTGCAGATCCTAGCCAGTGTGCACCAGTGACTCCACCTCTCCAACCTCAGTGTTCTCATCTGTAAAGTGGACACGATAAAGGTACCCACATCAAGTGGTTAGCACGAGGCCTGACACATAAAAGCATCAGCAAATTAGTTAAAAGGCCTTAAATGTTATTTAAATTTGTAAAGCCATATGCATGGATAACAAATAAAAATAAAAGATAACTTTTTGTTGTTGTTGAGGAAGATTGGCCCTGAGCTAACATCTGTGCCAGTCTTCCTCTAGTTTGTATGTGGGTCACTGCCACAGCATGGTTAATGAGAGGTGTAGGTCTGCACCAGGGATCCAGGCCCATGAACCCTGGGCCACCGAAGCAGAGCACATGAACTTAACCACTAGGCCACCGGGCTGGCCCCAAAAGATAACTTTCAAAAATCAATATACTTTGGAATACTGTGGCGCAGTAAAAGATCACCACTGATCTGAGCAGATCTTCAAGACATCTCCTGGAGGGGAAGGCACAGGGCGCCCACATACGTGCATAGAAAGCAGCTGAAAGAATGGAAAACAAAGCTCTCTGGCTGGGGGGTGGGGGGGGTGGGGCCCTGGGGGGGTGGGGCCCTAAGTGGTGAGGTGGTTAAATGAGCACTTTAGTCTTATCGGCAATGTTCCAATTTTTTAGAAAGAGAATATATTAATAATTGCTTTTGTAGTTAAAACTAATAAAAATTGCAATTTAAAGTAATAAATGTTATTAGTAAAATATATTATGTAACATTTAATAAATAATAAAATACACTTTTGCAAATTAAATAAATAATTATGATCGTCACTACAGATGAGGACCCTGCCAGATGGGGGGCCCCAGAGTTCAGCCCGCGTCTCCCATCTCGGAGCCCACGGTTTCGTCTAGCGTTTGTGGGGGCAGGTCAGGCCCTGCGCCCACGGTGCTGTCCGTGGTACTGACCCTTTGCCGGGCCGCGCTCAGGGCCAGGGAAGCGGCGGGCGGGCAGCGGGCAGGCACAGGTACCCAAGGCAAGTGGGGTGCGGAGGCCCCGGAAGGAGGGCTCTCCGACCCAGGGGCGTTAGGCCCCTCTAGGACCCCAGGCCTTCCCCGCTTGGCACGACGCCCACCTGACCCATTTAGGAGGCGCTGGGGGGGAAGGGGCGGTGCTAGGAAACCAGGAAACCTCCCTCCCATTGGCTGTGGGGCCAGCGCCCCGCCCTTCGAGGCCACGCCCAGCGGCCGAGCGAAGGGGGCGCAGACAAAGGCTCCAGGACGGCCCTGCCCCCTAGGGGAGGAGGATGGAGTCCCTGGACTCATCCGCCCCATTGTTGGAGATGGGCCGGAAGTCCCCGGTCCATCCCGATGTATCCATAAACTCCTTCCCTGTCCCTCCCAGGCAGGGGCCTCAATTTCCAGGAGCTGTTGAGTTTTCTCATCCTTGGGGGAAGAGTGATACCCGTCTCACTGCATCCCTGCGGGGTGCACCTGGCACAGAGCCCATACGGAGTGGTCGTTGTCATGAGTCGTTAATGCCGTCATGCTACCTCTCAGGAGAGCCCCGGATCGCCCTGACCTCCCTCCTTCCCCCCAGCCAGGCCCCTCCCCAGGGCGGCAGCCGCTGCTCATGCTGAGCCAGGCACCACGCCAGGACCCGTAGGCAGGAGAGCACCCCCTGCCCACCCCAGTCAGCTGAGCTGTGATGAGGAGGAGAAGTTTGCTCTCCTCCCACCAGGGAGCCCACAACCAGAATGGGAGCGGGGAACGAAGATGGCCAAGGAACTGCCCATCCACAGGGCCGATGCCGAGCTCCTGGGCAGCCAGATCCCCCACACCCCACACCCCACACCGGGCCTGGCCCCGGGGCCTTGAGCACTTTCTTCCAGTTTGGTCGCTGGAGACTTTCCAGGGCAGGGAGGCCCTAAGGAAACTGCCCAACCCTTCCATTGGTCATCGCAGAGGGCAGCTGTGGGAAAGGAAGAAACGATTCCCCTCCCCTCCGCAACCCACCTCTCTTTTGTTTGAATTGTTAAAAAGGATCAGATATTAATTTTAAAAACAAACGCAAATTAAGAAAATCAACTCAAAAGGAATAATAACTAATGAGCAAACCCAAGGGCCAGAGGGCTGAGAAGCAGGAAAAAAATCTCTGCGGAGGACACTGTCCAGCACTCAGGCCGCTGCCTCCGCCCTGTCGCCGCCCACCGAGCCGGGTGTGGAGCCGCCTTTGCCTGGTGTGTGCTAGGCCCAGCCATAGGAGGGGGCACAATCGGATCATCACTCCCCCAGGCCCAGGAGGGACTCAGGGGTGTGCCCCTCCGCACAGCGATCCCTGACCCTCCAAGGAGCAGATGTTCAGGGCAGGCCTGGCCCCTGTGACCACATTAATGAGCCCTGGGCCCCTCCCACCTGGCCAGGGCAGCTGTCAGCGACTGCCCCACGAGCCCTGATTTAATTTGAGACCATCGTCCCCCAGGCCTCCCCCTCCCCCAGCCCCCGACGTCGGGCGGGCACAGCTGTCTCCTCCGGTGATTAGGGAGTCTCCCCGCTACCGCCTCCCCCCATCCGAGGCGCCTCCACCCTACAGAGAAGATGCAATTTACATGTCAGCCACTTGGCTGCCCCAGTCCCGTTGTAATTAGCTTTTTGTTCTTGCCTGGTTTCCACGGCAACAGCCTCCAGAGGAAGCCTTTCCTCGGCCCCTTCCCCTCCAGGACCCGTCTCCTCCCACCGCCTCCTTCCGGGAACCAGCCCGACATCATCCCGCGCTGGGTCCCTGGCCTTGGTCCTGACAAAGCCACCCCTCCCTGCATTGTTCTGGGCAGCAGACCCCACCTAGCCTGAGCCCCGCGCTGGGCGACCGCAGAGACTGAGCGCCAGAGGGCAGCGCGGCTCGGATTCGCATTTATTTGTGACCTTGGGCAAAGGACAGCCACCCGGACTTGAGGACGTGACACTCGCCTCCTGGGTTCGGGTGGGGATTACGCCACCTCCCCTTCCTGCCTCAGTCCCAACATCTGTGAGTTGGGCTAACAATGGATGGGAGAGGCCGCGCGGCGGTGCAGCGAACCACCCCCGGAGCCCGGCTTTGTTGCCACGCCCAACCCCCAGACTCTGCCGTTCCAGGTGGGCACGGTCCAACCCCGCGGGGGGTTTGCCTAGGCGGGGCTGTGCTAAGGGAGGTTCCAGTCCTGGACCAAGGTCACCCTGAGTCCGGACCCAACTCCTCCCCCAACAAAGGAACAGGGTGGGGCCAGCAAGCCGAGGGTTGCTAGAACGAGGTTGGGGGCATGGGGATGGCTCTGCGGCATTGGAGGGCGTCCTTTTCCGGGGTTGGGGGAGGCGGGGCAGAGGGAATCATTATGACTTTGACGGAGGAGCCCCACCCAAACCAGCCCACCCCTCCCATCTCGCTCAGGGCTGAGTTGCGACCCCAGAAAAGAGGGCCACACCCAGACAGCGCCCCCAGCTGCACCTGCTTCGGCCGGTGGAGGAGGGCGCAGCTGCGGAGGGAGCTAAGCCCTGACCTGCGCTGCGCTCCGCAGGCCCGAGGGAACACCGGCAGGGCAGAGGAAAGGCGGGGCGGGAGGGGCAGGGAGGGGACCCCGGCGTCCCGGCCGCCCGGCGCGGGGCCGGCTCGTTCCTTTGTTCTCGGCTTCTCAGCGGCGAGTGCGGCTCAGGGGGCACGGCGCCTCCCTGCTTCCCTCCCTCCGGGGCCGGCTCGGGGTGGGGACGCAGGGTGCGGGGCGCGGGGCCCGGCGCTTGGGGGCGGCGCGCGGCCTCACCTTGGCCCCGATCTGGTTGCCGCACTGGCCGGCCTGGATGTGCACGATCTCCCTCATGCTCGGTGCGGGTGGCGGGCGGCTGCGGGACTCGCGCGGACTGGCCGGGGCTCGCTGCGGAGGGTCGGCAGCCCCCGCCGCCCGCTCTTATAGGCGGGGCCCCGCCCGCCGCCGGCCTGGCGTCACCGCGCGCGGCCAATCGCTAGTCGCCGCCGCAGAATGCGCCACCGGCCCTGCAGCATCAGCACCGCGCATCGCCGCCCGGCCGCGCGATGCGGGGCTTCCTCCCGCCGCCACCGGGGTCTGAGGGCCCCGCGGGCGGAGTCCGGGGTCCCCGCGCACCCGAAAGGAGGGGCTGGCGGACTCCAGGGAGGACAATAGTAGTCCCCTTGGCCCTCCGACCACGCCCCGGCTGCCCTCTCGGGTCCCACACCACCTGCAGCCCCACCCCAAGGCTTTTCAAGGAGCGTCTTTCTTCCCCACACCGGTTTAGGGACCAACCCCATCTCCCAACCGGAAAGGCCAAGATGGACGCCTCCCAGCTCCCTGTCTGTGGCATGAAGGGACAGATAAGGTACTCTGAGCTCTGCTGGCTCCCTTAGGGGTGGGGGAGGCAGGAGAAGGCTGCAGCAGCCAGTGAGCCCCCAGAAGAAAGCAAGCATGAGGCAGGGCTCAGAAACATCTGAGTCAGAAGGGCTGTGGGCATAGGAGAGCAGCGGGCATTACTGTGGCAGCTCTGGTTTCACTGTCCTCTGCAGAGGGATGCCACCTGCCCCTCCTCCCCTAGGGGGCTGCCGTAAGACTCCACATGGACCTTGCATGTGGGGATGCTGGCAGCCACTACTCAATGCATATTGTATCAGGAATTGTCATAAGGACACAACGAGGCCGGGGATTGACTGGTGGGGGATGATGACCCGTGGTTTCTATCTGACTCACTCCCTGATGTCACCTGTACTCCTGGACTCTTGGTCCAGGTGAGGCCAATGCAATGCAGTGTCTGTGTGTGTGGGGCTATGTAGGGAGATGGCATGTGCCTAAGGTGGGGGTTCTAGGGTGAAAAACTGGGAAAGAGAGAAGGGAGTGAGTGAGATGGACATGCAGTACGGACATAGTGCCACACACACATACACCACTGGCTTAATAATCTCCTAGGGTCAGACGTTAAAGTGAAACCACCTTATAATGAGGTCCTTCTGATAATTCAGCAACAAAATCCTCCGGGAAGTGTCTCAGCCACAGTGTATGGACGTTCCACAAGCAGTCGGCTGAACAAGCCCGTGGGCGTGCCTGTGTCCAGTCTGTGTGCTCAGGAGCGTGGTGGCGTGGTGTGGCTGTGTATGTGCCCCTTTTCCCCCCGAAGCTCCCCAGTTCAGCAAGTCTAGAAGTGGGTCTTTTGTTCTCAAGAGATGCCCCTCCCCCACAATGTGTCCATGATGTGGCTTTCTGTGGTTGGCTTCTGGCCACCTGGGGCCCCTCCCTGTCCCCGTTCAGGGGGTCCTTGGTGAGCATTCGGCTCTTCTCTGGATCTGGCTGCACCTCCCTGTCTGAGCAAAGAAGCTTTGCAGCATCTTGTAGGCCAGGACCCATCACCCGCCCTGCCTCCCTGTGGGATGGCACCAGGCCAGGCCCCCTCCATCCCCAGAGGGCTCTGGTGCCGGGCTCAAGGCTGACTCACCGTCCTGTCTCCCAGCAAAGTCTGGCCCTGCCGGGAACCGGCTCCCAGCCCGGAGGCCAGCAGTCAGGGCTGGAGCTGCCAGTGTGCGTGGAGTGGGGACTGGCTGGAGCAGAGCTGGGGGGGACTGCTAGGGGACTACAGGGAGCTGCAGGCATTACTAGACCTGCCTTGGAGTCGGCTGATACAATCACTTTCACCTCCACTGAGCCTGTACCAAGAAAGAAGTCGACTGTGTGCTCAGTGACTGTGGAAGAAACCAGGTGGCTCCCCAGCGAGAGCCCAGGGCTCCCGGCACCCTCCCAGACAGCATGGTCCACCCCAGCTACCCACTCCCCCAGGACTTGGGTCTGGACACCCCCTGTGGCCCCTGGACAGCCTCACCCCATTCGGGGGGGTCTTGCCTCAAATACCTCCCAGGGCTGGCTGAGCACTGACCCCCTCCCAGGAGGGCAGTGCTGGGGGAGAGCAGACTCCAGCCCCCGGCACCCCTTGCACTGTAGACCCCTCAGGGCACCTCAAAGCAGACGCAGAGGCGGCGCATGCTCTGGCCAAGGTCACACAGGGGTCACAGGGGTCCTGCTTCTGCTGCAGCTAGGGCAGCCTGGACAGTGCCTGAGTCTTGCCACCATGGAGGTGACTGGGGCAGGGCAGCTGCTGCTCCTCACATAGTTGCTCTGGGCTGGGGTTTGTACCACAGAGAGAAAGCAAAGACTCATGGTCAGAGTAGGTGCCACTGAGGTCTCCAGGCTCTCTCCTGGGTGGTCCTCACCTACACAGGCCAGCCATGCTTTCTGGCTGGTTTGTGGGTCTTACTTCTCCCCCCTCATCACTCCCATCCCTGCTCTTGCCCTGCCCCTGCTCCTCCACCTTCAAGCTTCAAGCAACTTCTGGAAGGAGCTGAGGCAGATCAAGATGAGGCTGCACTAAGCACAGCATTTATTACCAGACTGCTTCCGGGCCCAGAGACCCTGGCTGCCGGTCAATGATTTGGACTGATGGCCTCTGCCTCAGCCTGAGCAGGCGTTGGCCAGCGCTGTCTGCTGGCCATGTGTGGTACAGACAGATGGGCTGAGCCCTACCTCTCCAGTTACCACTGAGTCAGAAGAGATGAGCACCCCCGCCTGCCCCCCACCCCCGCTGTGGTGCTGGCTAATACTGTCCCTCTGCCCTAGGCAGGAGCTCACTTCTTCCTGAAGCAGCCTTTCGAGGTGGGGTCTTGCTGGTCACACAGTCCCTTCTCCTGAGGCCTGCGTCGGGAGCCAGAGTTCTGATCGGCTCTTGTTGCCCTGCCAACACAGACACTTCACATCCCAGTGGGTGGGCAGGGGCATAAGTCCCTGAGCTGGCAGCAAAGGTGGGTGCTGGTGGGTTCTTGCCTGGCCTCTGGGTGGAGGTGAAGCTCTCCAGGAGTGGGCCAAGTGTCTGTCCAGGAGCCCGGGATCTGCCCCTGGTGCCCATGGCCCCACCGTCTCCCCAGCCTCCTCCATTCCCCACAATTGCTCCTGGAGATTCATGCTATTCCTCCCTCTGCCCCAGAGGCTCCACGCGTCCACACCTTCAGAGATCGTCTAGGCCACCCTCTTTGGCAAGTGACTGCCCCGGTCACACGGGAATTGAGCCCCACGATGTCACCACCCTCCTCTGCCCAGCCCTCTGGCCTTGGCCCGCAGGCTACCTTCCCCTCATCAGGAGCAGAGTAGCACCTCTTGGAGTGTCTTTCGAAGCTCCTGGCTGCGGAAGGCGTAGATGAGGGGGTCAACGATGGCATTGCAGATGATGAGGGTGAGGAAGAGGTTGAAGTTCTTGAAGACGCAGCCACAGGTGGGGTGTTGAGGGCAGAGGATGATGAGTGAGAGGTGCAGGAAGAAGGGGCCCCAGCAGAGGAAGAAAATGCCCAGCAGGATGGTGAGGGTGGCAGCGCCCTTGAGGCCAAAGCCCTGGTGCAGGGGGTGCTGCCTCTTGTGGAGCCGAGCGATTCCCTGGGCATGCTGGCACGCCCGGGTGAGCATGTGCACGTACAGCACTGCCATGAGCGCCAGCATGGCCACAAAGAAGCTGACAAGACAGAGCAGAACGGCTGTGTGGTTGTGGTAAGCGATGAAGAGGGTGCTGGAGAGGACACTAGCCACCCAGATGGCCGTGATGACATGCCACGCCCGGGGCAGTGTCACGATGCTGTGGTACCGCAGCGCATAGAAGATGGAGATGTAGCGGTCCACGGCGATGGCGCCCAGGAAGCAGAGGCTGGACACCATGGAGCCGCAGGTGAGCGCGTCAATGACATTGTCCAGCTGCTGCACCACCGAGGCCCGGGTGGCCAGGGTGCCGGCCTCCAGCAGCAGCAGGACAGCTGTCTCCAGCACGTTGCTCATGCTCACCAGCAGGTCGGACACGGCCAGGCAGCAGATGAAGCAGTACATGGGAGAGTGCAGGTTGCGGTTCTTGGCGATGGCGGCCACCACCAGCACATTCTCCACCAGGCTCACCAGCCCCAGGCTGAGGAAAAGCCCGTCAGGAATGGACACCTCCAGGCACCTGGGCCCCGTCTGGTTGGTGGCCAGCCTGAGGAGGGGGGTGGCTGCGGGGGTGGAGTTGAGGGAGCCCAGCAGCCTCCTCGGGGGGCCCTGCACAGACATAGTCCCTCTGGGAGCAGGAAGGGTCCTCACTCTGCAGGCGTCCTACTCAGCTCATGGTGCCACCCCCAGGGCCAACCTCAGGCTCACCCTCTCCGTGGCTGGACATAGGTTGGCCCAAGCATGGCCTAGCCAGAGAGCTCGGCCTCTCCACCAGTCTGGTCACTTCCCAGTGAGGACCCCAAGCTCTGTGGCACCACCCCTCTGGGCTCTGGCATCTCCCTCTGGGTCCTCAGCCCACCTCACCACCTCTTCCCTGGAGGTGCTGTTGCTCAGGTCACACATCTGTATGCTCTTGCTGCCTCCTGGTCTGTGGGGCCTCCTGCCTCCCCAGACCCGAAGTGGGCTGGGGTCCTGGAAAGAATGGAGCCTTTCTCCGCATCTTTAAAGTCTTCCGTGGAGTCCCTCCTCCTGAGGGCGGCCACATGATGCGCGTGTGCCTGGGAAGGCATCGTCAGAAAGTGCCCACGGCACCCCGCCTGCCGCCAGGTGGCGCAAATGGTACCCAGGGCTGTCCCGGCTCCCAGGGCCTCCAGACTCCTGGGCACAGCGGGACTCTCCCCTTCGTGCTCCCAGCTTCGCCTGTGCTCAGCCAACCAGCATTCCCAGCCAGGCCTCCACTCCAGGTGTCTGTGCCTGTGGGGCCACCTCTGGACCTGCCCCCAGACTTCTAAGCCTCCTCCAGGCCTGTGGCAAGCACAATGTCCTCCTTGAAGCCGCCCCTGATCCCCTAGCCTGCCTGAAGCTGCTCTGCCTCAGGAACAGTCACTGGCTGTTGACTGTCTGCCCTCAGCCCTCAGCCCTCACCCCCCATCCAATGTTAGATGCTCACTGAGGGCAACGCTGCCCCCAAAGACCCCCACCCCCTTCGCTGAGCACTGCCGGAGGGCACCCTGGCACAGCGGCTGAAGGAGACCTCGCTCACGCTCCTCCTGGGGGAGGGGCAGGGACAGAGCTGCAGTCCTTCCCTGACGGCCCCATGTCCTCTGCAGAAAGACACCACTGGCCAAGCCAGGAACCACTTCAAGGGCAGACCTCTGTCTCCAGCCACGTGGGGCACTGTGCGAGCCAAGCAGCGTGGGGAATGTCCCCGGGCACCAGGCTGGCCTCACTCCCAGCACTTTCTCACTTGAGACTGAGGACAAACCCTCCTTTGAAGGCGGAGGTGGGGGGAAGGAACTGTTCTTCCCATTGACAGGTGGGGAAAACGAGGCAGCAAGAAAGGCAAGTGGCTTGTTCAAAGTCAGACACAAGCCCTTGGTGGAGGCGGAGCTGGGAGTTCCGAAGGAGGTCTCAGTGTCTGGAAATCGTGTGTATCTGTGATCTGCCTGTTAAAATCTGGCCCACATCCACCTGACTACCAGATGGCCTCCGACGGGCAGTGCCCGCACGCCCACGTTACACGCACTTGCGTGAGTCATTCCTCGTGTCTGCACAACTTACAAAGCTCTTCCTCCCTTTGCCTGGTTTGTGCTTTTTATTGAAGTACGTCAGTACATAAGAGAGCACAGATTGTAAGTATGCAGGTTGGTGATGCCCCAACCTAAACACAGCCTGGAAAGCAGCGCCCAGATCAATCAGTGAATAAAACATGAATCGCACCAGAACCCCTCTTCCTGCCCCAGGGAGCCCACGACCGTCGGTTAATTTGCCTCTTTTGGAACTTCATACACGGGGGCTCAGCACTGAGATGTCCTTGCAGCTGCGTGTAGTGCGAACCCTCTCCTTCCCAGACTGTGCCGCAGCTGGTAACGGATGGACACACTGGGTGTTCGGGTGCTGTGTCTCCCCTTACCAACAGTGCTGCTGGGCATTCTCGTCCCGTATTTTGGTGGTGGGCATGTCCGCTGGGTGACACTAGGATTGGGAGGGGGTGGTCAGAGCCATATCTTCCGCTTTGGCAGATTCAACCAAACCACTTTCCAAACTGGTAGACCCGTCTGCCTGCTCCCGGCAGTGCACGAGCCCCCCACTCCCCACCTAGAGGAGGGTGGAAGGATGGCCTTGCCCAAGCTCCCCAGGAACCAGGCCCAGGATGGGCCCACAGAGCACACACTCCCTCCCAGCTTTTTGCCGCCCATGGACTTTGCCCCCTCACTTGCTCCTCCTGGTGGAGAGCCCCACAGGAAGCAGAGGGTCCCAGGCCATGATCATGGGGCAGAGCAGTGGCAGGCCCAGGTGGCTGCCCTGAAGCCCCAGCGTCCCTGCCACATGAGTCTGGACTCCCCCTGCAGCTGTCCACTGCCTGGGACCACCTTCCACCTCTGGGGCACTGACCAAGAGTCTGCTGGGTGAGCAGTGCCCTGCCCCCAGCTTCTGTGTCATCACATTTCAGGGATGTTAGTATTCCTAGCTCCATAAATGAAGCCTTTGAGACGGACATGCCTGACCCCAGCCCCCCTGCCCAGCCTGAGACTTCAAAGGGCGTGAGAACCGGGTAGCCTTTGGCAGGCGACCGCAGCCCTCTTCCTGGTGAGGCCTCACGACTCTTCATCCGGAGGTGCCTGCTGGGGACTCCATGGGAGTGAGACAGCAGACATGGCTGAGCTGGAAAAAGTCAACTTTGTGAGGAGTTATGGTTATGGGGAAAGGGTCTAAATGAAATCACAGATTCCATAGGCCAATTATGTCAACTCCATCTCCAGTACACCTGGGAGACACTGAAGTGAGGAACAGACAGGAGACAGGCGGTGGACACAATCGTCCCCTCAGAGCAGATGCCACCATGAGACCATGTGCTGGACCCACACGTGGGGAGGCTGAGACAGGAACCCACTTGGTCTTGTGCACTCGTGTCCCCAGCACCAAGAACAGTGCAGGCACACCGTAGGCCCACAATACATGAGCGTTCAATGCGTGAGCAAGCTCTGTGGGGGAGGTGGGGTGTGAAAAGCCTCTCACTGCAGAGCAGGCGGGGGGGGGGGGGTGCCTACATCCAGCCATGGCCACACCAGGGAGGTGGGGGTGACTGCCTGACCAGAGGGCCCAGGCCAGCCCCTGCTTCCTTCACAGAGGTCTCCCAGAGCCAGCCAGAAGGCACACAGCCCCATGAGCAGCCATGCGAGGGTGCAGCCTGCCCCTCCTGGCTCTCGTCGAGTGGGATCTCAGGAAGGTCCAGCCCAAAGCTGGGTCACGCTGTCTTGCAAGGGCCGTCTAGCTTCCTTTGAACTCGGGGAGGGGGGTGGTTTGTGTGCCCACCTTGTGGTGTCTGCACTGAAGACCCTGAGGTGGGGCCTGACTCGGTGGGGAAGGGCACAACCCATTAGCCATCCTGCCCATGGGCAGCACGGGCCTGGAGGAGCAGGTTCACCCTTGCCTGGACACTGAGTGGCAAGCCAAGCCTTTACAGCCAGTGTTCCGCTGGGAGGGACCTGGTTGTACTCATCTCCACTAAAAACATGACCTGATGTGACCAGCATGGCTGAGCACTGACGATTTAATGACCTTTTGGGACAGCAGGGCCGGAGGTGAGCAGTTTCATCACAGGCTGGGCCCAGCCTCTTTCTGCTGCACTATCCCAAGGACACTGGCTCTTCATTTTAAAGTTCATTGACTCCTGCCTGGTTGGATGGCTGCTGCAGCTCCAGACATCACATCCCTACCTGGATGCACTTAAGGCTGGAAGACGCAAGATGCCACACTCTGCTCACTTACCTATTGTTTTCAGAGAACAAACCCCTTCCCAGAAGACCTCCAGCAGACTCCTGTTTTCCTGGCTGAAGCTGATCACAGGCCACCCCAGTGGGGGACAGTAGACCCAAGACAGGCTTGGATTATCTCAGTCATACTTGACCCCTGGAGCTGGGTGTGGATCCTCCCACCAATTTACTGTGGTGGCACGGAATGAGGTGTGGGTGAGAAAGACAGACAGACTTCACCGTGTCTGCAGGGGCACCCTTGCCATGGGTATTTGAAACACAGGGTCTGTTGATCCCCAAACACCGGAAGCCCCTCAGTTGAGATCTGCTGAAAGGATGACTTCACAGGTCTCCCCAGTAGGTGACTCCACATCAATGACCAGGACGCCGTTGGGGACTTCTGGGAGACAGGCCGATGGACCAGGACTCGGGTAGACATCAACAGATGACCGCTCTGGGGCCCAGATTCTACCCCAAAGCACATATACAGCGTCTCCTCCCAACCCATGTCTGCTGCCTCCCGGGGTGGAGGTCAGGGCCAGGAGGGTGCCTGCTGGACAGGACACCTCGGGCAGCTCACAACCTTGGTATCCTGGATCTTTCCAGAATCAAACAGGCTCCTGAGTCATAGGCAGCCCCGAGGGGTTCTGAGCTGTCAACCAAGTGTGCCAGGACCCACCCCAGCCGACGAGCCTTGCCCCCATGCTCCATTCACCCCCGGATCAAATGCCCCCTAATCTCTGCCATGTGCATCCCCCAGAACTGCCAGGACATCCTTTCCAAAGCCCACCTCTCCGGCCTCCCCTCTGCCTCGGCACTGCCCTGGAGTTTTCCACTGAAACAACTGTGTCAGACTGGACGGATTCTGTGTCTTTGGTGCCCAGCGTGAGGACCCGGTGTCAGCCCCTCCAGCCCTGGGCCAGCCTGTTCCAGGTTCCGACTGCAAGCACACCCCATGGCGTTCAGCAGAGATGTTGCACTAGAGACCTGTGGGACCCCTTCTCTAACCCTGTGCCCCAAATTCTGGAGGGAAGGGTGGCTGGAGGGAGGACTTGGCTAGGGCTTGGGCTCGGTGTGTGATTGTGGGTCACGTTCTCGTCTGGGAAACCTCGGGGAGCTGTGCAGATCTGGGACCTGCCTGCCTTGCACTGGGCCCAGACCCCAGCCCCGGGAAAGGAGAGCTCACGTCGCACAGGACATAACCTATCATGTTTATGGGAGAAACAGAAGAGGCAGGCGGACAACACATCAGTATTTCTACTTCAGGGAACTGGCCAATTCAGACCAGAACAGAAATCAGGAACATAATTGTACAGCGTTGGGGCGGGCATCTGTGCCGACTCAGTCCCACTCCCCATCTCCCTCGGGGTTGTCCTCGCGAGGTGCCTCCAGGTCGTGGAAGTGGAAGTTGGCCATCATGTCTCGCACAGCCAGCATCAGCCTGTTCA